CCAGGGCGTCGAACCGGCCGACGCTCCCGAGCGCGAGGAGGCGATCCGCGAGGTCGGAGGCCGCCAGGGCCCCGGGCGGGAGCTCCCCGTCCTTCCCGGCCAACACACAGGCGAGATCCGCGAGGGTGCGCAACCCGGGATCCCGCGCGAGCTCCTCGGCCATGGCGGCCATCAACCCCGACCCCACCCCGACGCGATGGGCGTCGTGGAGGGATTTCAGCATCCCGAAGCGGACCTCGACCCCGGCGCGGCGGAAACGAAGCGCGGCGCGGAAGAGGAGATGCGCGAGGGCCCCTTGACGGAGCTCCACACACTCGCGGAGGATCCCCTCGAGGAGGGCGGTCGCGTCCGCGGGGGCGATCCCCCCGCGTTGCAGCGTGGATTGGAGGAGAATCATCAAAAAGGTCACGGCGCTGCGAAAAAAAAGAAGCCGGCCGCGTGGGCGATGGAGCATGGAGCGGCGAAGATCCCGCACCACCCGCCACGGCCGCGTCGTGAGCAGCGTCGCGAGCCTCGCCTCATCCTCCGGGGAAAAGGGCCGAGATCCACCCCCACCAGACGATGAAAAGGAAGAACCAGAGGAAGAGGAAATGGAAGATATAAAGGAAGGAGAGGAAGGAAAAGACGAACGACGTAAAACGGCGGTGGGATGGAGAGGGGCACGATGGGAGAGGTACGATCCGTCGAGCCCGAGCGGGGCACCGTAGGAGAGGGGAGACGTCGAGCGTGGAAGCTTGCAAGGACACCATTGAAATGGGGAACTCGGCGTGGTCAGTGAGGAAGTCGAAAGGAAACCCCCACATGGCAGCCATCCCGGAGGAAGGCGTTTGAAGCGCATCAAAAGACTGTTTTGAATTACAGGTTTGTTCCCTATGGCCGGATCTTGAATCTAGCCTAATAGAATTAAAAAAACGTCGAGAAAAGGATACGCAATGAGATCGGTTTCATGCCACAGCTTAATCTGAGCATAGTTCCATTCGATGCCGTAAATCCTCCAGCTTTGCGCACACATTTTTTACAAACACATTCAAGGGTAAGTACATTAATGGTGATTTATTCACATTCAAAAAAAAATACATTTCAGAGAGAAGATGAATCTACGAGATTCCTCGTAGCTACTCAAATTAAAGGTTAGTGTTGCGTATCTATGTAAAAATAGTAATAATAAAATGATATGTGAAATATGTACAAACACATTTCAAACGAATCTGTTAAGCCAGAATAAATTACATTAACCACATGAAAAAAATAAAAAAACAATACCAAACGTAAACACTCATAGTCTACGCAATGGGAAACATTAAAAAAAAAAACTAGACATTAGCTTAAAACATGTGCTTCTGAGAAGGGAGAAATGGAGATGAGAGAGGGCATGTTAAAACACGCCAAGTCTGCCCCAGTGTTTAGTATTGTTATTGTCACTTCATCCTCCTCTCATAATGCTTATGGCGTGCGCGCTGCTCTAAAGCATTATATCGCTGTTCACGTACATCCTCGAAGTCGGCCCAAGCTTCGGCCCACCCATAATTTATGGTAAACCCGTGCTTCTTTTAAGCGGAATACAGAGCATGCGCTCCATTCTCTCGATAAAGGGCATGGTGTGTAGAGATGCAGAAAGGGGAATATATATTCCACAAATAAAACTTTAACGCGAAAAAAGTGGTCGCTACAGGTGATGAAGAGCGAAAAGGAGACATAAACGACACACTCACTCTCAGTCCTCATCAGAGTTCCGCCGTGCACATGAAAAGCATGATAGCATGCTACGAGACTTGAACTTTTCGCCACCATAGCCACCCTTGGCGATGCCATTCCTACTTTTCAGTCCATCTGATCCCTCAAAATAGAATTTATGCCTTTCGAGGAAACCCCCACCCTTCTTTTCTTCCTCAATAAGCTCTTGGTAACACTTGGGAGAGTATGAAGGGTCAGAGCGCAGCACGGCAACGATGAATTCGTTATCCAACCAGCACTTATCAGGCGAGTCCAAACATTTATTAATCTCATCCGTAAGATGGTGCAGTCTCGAATTTCCAGACATTTCCCGGTAAAAATTAACCTTCGACAACCCATAACCTGCTGCTTCTGATTTCATGAATTTTTCGGACATTAAACTGGTATACATTTCAGCGTAGTAACTCAATAACATCCGACACAAATCGCAGACGACATTGTTGTCTGGTGTGCGTTTCCGGAAAAGGTTAAGGCATGTACGAAACTTGCTTAGCTTGCCCGATTTAGGAAGTAGGCATGGATCCTGACTAAAATACTTCTCACGTTTGTACACCCCATTTTCGTCTAGTTCCACCATCAAACACGATTCAATCATCTCTTCATCCAATAATTGCAATTGCCATGTTTGCAGACTACACAGGATCGGTACTGGGGCCTGTAAATAATTCATCAGCTCAGGCAAGCAAGGGGAGAGTACGATATGCACCCATTCGAATGGTGAGATAAATGCCTGAAGAGACATCAGAACCTTCGAAACAATCGGGTAATTAGGGCCGACGATGATGGTAGTCTTTTCCAAAAGCAAGTTCGACATAATACTGAAGAGAACGTTGAGATTAGGAAATGTCTGAAGCAGGTCCAGCGGAGAGGTATCGATGAAAGGGCAGATCCGGTCATAGGGCCGCTTAAAGGATAGATCGGTGCCTGGCGGCGTGGGAAAACTCGCGCCTGATGGGGGTGTTAGGCACGAGAAGAGGGTCTTTAACATTCGGTCCCCCAAATGGCGTGTCCTCATATCAAAAAGACCACCTAAATTGTAGAAGAAGTTGCACCACGGGTGCTTGGTTATGCTCACAGCGACTTGGTTGTTGTCAAAAACCACACAGTGATAGTAGGTGCGGTGGCCGCTATCACTCGTACTGATGGAGGTGTAGTTGATCTTCTGGGCTTTCGCAGGCTGAGGCACATCACTCAAAATAAATAAATTAAGGTTCGGATACTTCTCCTGTACTTCTTTAATTTCCAGGGGGTAGGTCCAGAGGTATTTGATGACAGATTTCCCGTCCTCGACCTTGACGGAATCGATGAGGACAAAACACGAAATACAGCATTCCTTGCTTTCACCGTAGTGAAAAATCGCGGAGCATTTAGAATCGGACACCGTCTCCGGGAGACGCAGGTCTATGCGATCGACTTCACAGTCATCCGCATTTGAACCCCCTGCGACTTTAGACTCCATAGTGGATGGATAGTGTTGCAAAAACTTTTAACTTATAGCTAAGATAGACAATAAGGAAATGGAAATTTCACAAAGAACATCCGCACCCACTGCAGCGTGCAAGAATTCACATTGGGATGTTTCCGTTGTTTCCTTTTGTTTCCCTCGTGAGATAACCAAGGAGCATTTTGTGACAATTTCAATTAATAATAATAGAAATGGAAAAACGAGGCTCATCTGTAGGGGTATGAAATCCGGGATCTGTTTGAGCCCTCATCCCCATTTTTGTTAGGAGACCGGCAATGACAGCCTCACCTCCTTTCCAGCTGCTTCTAGCTGAGTGACAAGGCTTGTATCCATAGGGTGTTCCTCCATACCTTTCTCAAGTAGCGCTATTGCTTCGCTCGGTGATTTCAGCATCCGCAGTGCATAGGCCCCATGTAGATATCCCTGTGCGTCGCCCGACACCTCTACCGCGAGCTTTGCGACCTCCACCGCCTCCTTGAACTTCTTTTGGCGCACTAAAAGTCCTGCCTTGAGGCCTAAAAGTGCCCCTCGACGTGTGGAATCGATCGCGTGGGCGATACTGATATCCACGCAGTGGATCGCGTTGGAAATGTCCCCGCAATGCAGGTTGGCAAGCGCCATCCCCGTCACAACCTTAACGAACATGGTGATGTCAGTGGGCTCCTCCACATTGACAAAGGAGGTTGGCCGCGCGTTTGGATTTTCGGAGTGCGAAACATGAGGATTGCCGCTCGTATTTTCTACGCAATTTACCTCTTTCGCAGGCCCGGTATCGGAGACTGCGTCGGAGGCTTCCTTCCTTGCTAGGAAACCCTCTTCAGCTTCGGGTTGGGGTACGGGGATCGGGGCCTTTGGGATTTCCACACTAGTGGTAGTAGTTAATGGTGCGCTCCCAAGACGAGGCGAGCAGCCATTCTGTTCAACTTCCTCGATCAGTTGGCGAAAATTGTCGACAAAGGTGAGTATGAGATCATGCGGCTGCTTATCCCCACCGGGCGTTAAGCTAGAGGGATAGAGCAGATAACTAAGCGGCCTTAGTGCGATGAAATTCTTAGCTCCATACTCGAGCATCAATTTTGAAAGATGTGGGAGAATATTTGGAGTTGGGCTTTTTTTTTCGATTTCTAAAAGTACTCTGTGGCCTGACTCGACAATAACATCACGGGAAGTACTTTCCTGAATGACTCTTCGTTGCTCCTGTAAACTTTCCTCAAGGACTTCGGGAATGTACTCCTTGATGCGTTCATCCTTGGTCTCTGGTTTATTCCAAAGTGTAGTGAAAAATTTAAACTTATCCGTTCCTGTCTTAAGGTTCTGTAAGAAACCGGAAAAATGCAGGCATGTGCGACGCATATTAACGTTTCTAAAATTCCTCGAAGGATTTTTAAAAGGATTTAAAATGTACTATTTTTCTTACGCTCCCCTGCCTTAAAAAAAAATGTGGCAGGGATAAAGAAAAGGGTAGTGGCTAAGGAAATTAAGCGTCCTGTCTCATTCTTACTCAGATATCAGTTGAGGAAATTAATCAATTAGTTTTGAAGAAATTTGTCAATGAAGAAATGAGATAATGACAAAATATTATGCGGCTTCAAGGAAACAGCCAGCTTCGTTAATCACATAATGGCAGAGTCATGCTCAAAATGTGTATAATAAGCCACCAAAATGCACAGCAGAGGAATGAAAAATTTGGGTCCATACATGGATTGTTAAAATATAATATTCTTTTAACGACATTCACGCAGTTTTGTTAAGCCCATTAGCTAATCTTTTTTAAATGTCGCTTTGAAGAATTTATTATACTAAGTGCGTTTGACTCGTTTCCGATAATTATGACACCATCCTTTCATTAGTGGACTCATCCATCTCAGTTGGACTAGATACCTTCAGTCAAAGTGCACAGCATGTCAATAGCCTTAAGGAACAAGATAGCATTACCTATCAAAATAAAAACTATAACGAACAGTTAAAGACATGCGCACATCACGAATCCTTAATCTATCATAAGAGAGTGAAGAATCTGTGAACAGAGGTTGATAGAAGAGCTTTAGTGAATAAGGTCATTTAAGCGTCAGGAATTTCACACCTGAGAGTCCTCCAAAAGATACGCCAGGATATAAGCCATAAAAACCAACGGTCATGTATTCAGGGAGTTCTTTTATGATACCAGTGAAAGCCTGAATTTTTTCTTCGATTGACTCTGTGTTCAGTTATATAAGTTCATTTCAGCATTTTTTTCATGCCAAGGTGTACATCTTGATGTCCTCGCTATTGCCTCAAAATGTTGTAAAAACACTACAAAAATATTATGATTTGCAATGAATAACACTAATAAATATTATTTTTAATGCCACTATCATCTATACTTTTTGAGCCATGCGTTGGACGCGTCATGGTGGCTCATCGACTATCCCTGAATCTCCTGAGACACAATTTTTACAGAAAGGTATCTCACATAAAAATATAACTTACACACGATATTTGAATACGTATTTTACGAAATAACTTTAGGCGTTGGGGTTAGTCATGCACAAAAAAAAGTCGGACATAAAGGCAGGAACCATGTTTAACTACGTCATAGCAATCCACAAAACTATTCGTGAGAGGCACAAGCTATGCAAAGCCTTAAAAACGTATTATTCCTTTGGAACCTTCGACTGTATCACTTGTAGCAATAGCACGATATAAGTCCAGACTAACATGAAAACTAAAAGCAACGCTTACACAACACCGAGTAGTGATACACGCAAACCAGAAGCAGTGGACGACTAAAAACGCCTGCAGATGACTTATATTCAAAGACAAATTAAAAAAGCATAAGAAAATAAGATAGAGAATAGCGGAAAATAATTTTTTTCACGCAATTCGTTCTTTGAAATTTGCATAGCATTATTAACGAAAATGAAGCCACTAGAACAATTCAAGCAGATCATTGTTACAATTGCTACATTTTGCTTTTGTTCACAATGATATGGGGTAATTTTATTACCCTCTGACATCCGTACAGCATTTGCATCACAACAAAAGCTCGGAATTGTATAATATTTTCGCCGATTCTGCACTCTTGCAGGAAACTGTCAGGCATAAAATTCGTAAAGGTATCTACATAATCAACCTCATGACGATAAAAGACCGTAAATAAACTAATGGTTATAGAGATAATATGTCGCCCTCGAATGTTAAAGGTTTATAAAAGTTTTAATAGATTTTGGGGGGTAACTTTTATGCGTACGTATTCATATATAACTATACCCTTTAACAAGACAATGAGTTCCCAAATTCAATAAAGTCTATTAAGGGAATTATATATATATATATATATATATATATATATATATATATATGTGTGTGTGTGTGTAGTAG